GGGGGAGGGGGGGGAATGCTTTCAGATATGCTGCATATTGGTGCCTGTTTGTTGAAGGATAGGGAGATCTCGATTAACCTCTCATTCTCCCTCCTTTGCCCCACCATCTGAATGAGTTGCTATAATCTGCATCTCGTAAATATTCTGTAGACTGTTACTGTTGGATGGGAAATGAGGTTCCCCATTTTGGGAAAGGGCAAAAAAATATACAGCAATAAATTTGTCAATGTTCCAACTTTGTGCCTTTCTATCAGTTATGGAGGCATTCATAAGACAAGGTATTCTGACTTCTCTATATCAGGTCCTTCTTAAAATGAGTGAAGATATTTGAACTAAACTTTACCAGAATTATGTACATACAAACGGACTCGTGCAATTAAATGAAGAGAACCTGGAACAACACAAAAATGACATTTTTGCAATTTATTCAAAACTCACCTTTTCACCCCTGGCAACGGTGACTAAGGTGTATTGCTAACACTATAGTGTTACTGTAAGAAGGGTTTGACTCTATTATGGTGTGTTTAAGCTTCTTCTTTATTAAACAGTGACCTGATAAAGTTGAAATGAAGTTCTATTTCCAGATTTTGTTATCCTGATGGAAACCAATGACTACTGTTTTTGTGAAATTTGCAGGGTAGATTAAGTCCTTGTCGCCCCCCTCTTCTCCTATAACACCTATTCAGAATCTGCTTTCTATTTCTTATTTTTGAATTACACAGTGATACGGTTTGTCCCTTACCCATGGTGAATATAACATCCAGACTTGATAAAGGCTTAGAGAGAAGGTGAAACGTTGTCTTCACTTGTTTCAAATAAAAAAGACTGCCTTTTAGAAGAAACATCAGGCGTGACTGGATATTTATTTTCTTCCATTTGATGTCTTCAGGGATTGGACCTCCTTTTCTGGAGCACCCTGCAGGATGTATTCCCCTTTTTTTTTGTGTGTGTGCATTATACTTGTTTGTTTTTATTTTGCAAACAACTGGAGGTGTTCCTAGCCAGTTAAAAGGCAGGGTTTACATGAAAATGCCTGCAAGGACTGACTATACTCCCCTCAATTACTAAGATCTAGTTGTTCCGATGACTATAAACAATACGCAAGATCCAGCACACTCTCCTATCTACTAAACAGCAACTTCAATGTTGACAGATTTTATTAGTTTTTTCTCTAAAGGTTTAAAAAAAAAAATAATCTAGGCAAAAAAATAATGGAGTTTTAGTTACATTATATGATCATAGATTGCATAAGCCTGCCACAATGTCATTGTACCCCATATTTGGCAGGTCCTACTCTCTCACAGTCTGTCTGCTCTTATGTGAATAACTCACTTGGGGGAAAAATTCCATCTGAGGCTCTCTGCAGTACAAGACTAAAAAGGGAACTGAGATGAGATAAAAAAAAAACTTTAGAAAAAACTTTTTAAAAAACTAATAAAGTCTGTCAACATTAAAGTTGCTATTTAGTAGATAGGAGAGTGCGCTGGATCTTGTGTATTGTTTATTGTATAATATGGCCCCCAGCAGCACCCCATTTAAGCATGTTCAGGTTATTGCAACCAACCCCCCATGATAGATAGAGATAGATAGATAGATATATATATATATATATATATAGCCTTTTTTTTTTTTCTTTCTTTCTTAAGAAAAATGCAGTATTTCTAGCCTTTCTTCTTAAAGGACCACTCTAGGCACCCAGACCACTTCAGCTTAATGAAGTGGTCTGGGTGCCAGGTCCTTCTAGGGTTAACCCATTTTTTCATAATTATAGCAGTTTCAGAGAAACTGCTATAATTATGAATGGGTTAAGCCTTCCCCCTAATCTTCTAGTGGCTGTCTCATTGACAGCCACTAGAGGCGCTTGCGTGCTTCTCACTGTGATTTTCACAGTGAGAGCACGCCAGCGTCCATAGGAAAGCATTGTAAATGCTTTCCTATGAGACCGGCTGAATGCGCGCGCAGCTCTTGCCGCGCGTGCGCATTCAGCCGGCGGGGCGTAACGGAGGCGGAGGATCGGAGGAGAGCTCTCCGCCCAGCGCTGGAAAAAGGTAAGTTTTTACCCCTTTCCCCCTTCCAGAGCCGGGCGGGAGGGGGTCCCTGAGGGTGGGGGCACCCTCAGGGCACTATAGTGCCAGGAAAACGAGTATGTTTTCCTGGCACTATAGTGGTCCTTTAACTGTTTTCCATCTATCTTATTTCTGCACTTTTTCTAGCTCTACAATATCCTTCTTTAAAACTAGTGGCCAAAATTTCACCAAATATTCAAGGTGGCAGTCTTACCATTGATTTCTAAAGAGGCAATATTCTATTTTAGTCCTATGAATCAATACCCTTTTTTTTATTTTTTTTTTTATTACACATAAAAACCCCTTACTAACGTTTGCTAGTTTATCTTTCATTTTTCCCAAGTCCTTTTCCTTTAATGTTATCACTAACTTAACCCTATTTAAGTTGATTGTGGGTTCCTTATTCCAAAATACATGACTGTGCATTTATCTGTATTGAATCTCATTTGCCTGCCTATTTTCCCAATTTATCAAAATCTCTCTGTAGGGTAGCTATAGCATGTTCAGACTGTATGATCTTGCCTAGTTTTGTGTCCTCTGCAAACATGGATAAATTAATTTCAATGCCCATTTCAAGATCATACATAAATAGTTTAAAGAGAAGTGGACCCAGGAGAAAACCCTGAGGAATTCGACTTACTACTTTTTGTCTAATTTGAAAATTTCCTCTTTACAACTATTCTCTGCACTCTTTATGCCAATGTTCTATCCAAGAATGTTTTTTGTCTAAACCAACGGATTTCATTTTTAATAGTAACATTTTATGTAGAACTGTATCAAATTGCATTGGCAAAATCCAGCTTGTTCATAGAACACGGGCATGTGTTGGGCGGGAATGATGGGTAATGCTTTCCCCATCTGCAAAGCGGAATTTGCCGAAAGGAAACATTATGGACACTATGGCGCACACACTGGGTGGTACCCCAGAATGACTTTTGGAAGGTGGACATTTCTGAGGAGGGGTCCCTATGTCCTTACAGGGCCCTATTACTGACACCCCCAACATGAGCATAAATTTATCTACAGAATGGGACACCACTGAAAGGGACGAACATATCATCAGACAAGAAACTGAACTCCCCACACTGCACCACCATCTCGAAAGAAACTCATTGTGGACTTACGGTACAGGGCGCTACCCTTGAGCACACGACACTGGTTATACACTTTACTCTCCTACTACACGTCATGTCATATAAATATTGATTGCATACAGTGTTCAGGGATTGTGGCACATGCTCATCTTTGATACATCCCTCCTGAGGCCCACATTACATTCATTAGCAAGGGTACACCCCACCAACACCTGTTATTTGCCCCATAGCATAAAAGTAGACGAGGGGCTTGTGGGTAAAAACCAGTGGGCAGATGGTCATATGGAGCCCTAGAGAGGGGTGGGGGGAGCGCACCATACTACTCCTATCATCAAACAGATGGGAGGAGGTAGGGACTGTGATGAGGATGGGGACACATGCGGGCCACATACACATGCCAGAACACTGAGAGCGAATTCCATCTCTCCTGTAGGAAGAAAAGAAAATGAATGAGATGTAATTGTCTATGCATTATCTGTTTTTCACTGACTGATACTCAACCACAGGGATGCCCATGGGGATGGGGAAGGCGGGGGATGGTACATTGGCGGACTGCGGACTGATAGGGCCAAACACCAGGGCTCTGGCAGTTGCTTTTCCATGTTACTGTATCCTTTTTTATGAAATCCTATGTACTCAATACGGCACTAGGCTGTGGTGCTGGCGGGGAGGAGTTGGTTGATGCTGAACGGATACCACACTCACATTTTGGGTCCGTATTGGATTGGGGCAGAGCTGCTAACCTCTACTGCAGGTCGTGCACAGACCTGGACAGCGGAGCCCCCAGAGGTCCACATCCCGGTCTGGTTACTGGGTTGGATCTGGGCAACTCTTGCCGTCGCATGACTACACCCTCCTTTCCTCAAGGGGGGACCGAGGTGAACACTTTTCCTTCCCCTTATCGGGGTCACCTCTACTTGGGGATCTCCAGTACTCCACACTTTTTTACTCTCTACACTTTACCTATTCTACACCCTACCCTCGATATACCAGTGGCAACCCCTGCCCTGAAGTGCGTCTGATATATACAGGTGAACTCGCAACCCCTGACACTCTACTCACCCTCAACATACTCTGTAACGACAACACATAAGGACCCACAATCTTATACACCAGACAGATGGATTAACATAGAACTGACCACGGGTTGGGATCCTCGGATCCTCTGGGTTCACACCGCCTGACCCGCTGCTTTAGCTGCCGCGCCGAACGCCGACTTTCGGGAGACTGCACAGGGATGCAAAAAGACTCCCTGATAGCTGTAGTGGGGGGGACTCGCGCTGGGGTTTCCGCGTGACCTGGCGGAGTGACCATGGCATACCTCACTGCCCCCCCCTAAACGTTATAACTCTCAACTGTCCAGGTCGGAACGTACCCGAACGCCGCAAACATCTGCTCTGAGAACTATGAAAAAAAACGGGTATCTATGGCTATGCTTCAGGAGACCCACTTCCTCGAGGGCTCTGCACCTAAACTGCAAAACCGACAATATCCTAATAACTTCTTCAGCAATCATGCCACGGGCCGTAGGGCTGGCATTGCTATTATTCTGGCGGCTGAACTGGAGTATAAAGAATTAGACAAGATGACTGACAAACAAGGGAGATTTATCTTCCTAAAAGGCACAATCGCGGATAAAATATATACTCTGGTATCCATATACGTACCCAACATGAATCAGGCACGTTTCCTTTGGGGAATATTGAATAAGTTGCGAGGATTCTCAGAAGGAGCACTCATTGTGGGGGGAGACTTTAATGCCCCACTGGACCCTCAGATGGACACGTCAGCAAGGCACAACTATATACCACAATCTAGCATCCACTCGATACATAAATCGATGGGCGACCTAGGGCTGGTGGACTGCTGGAGAGCGCTCAATCCGGATACCAAAGACTATACCCACTACAAGGCACTCCACGGCCGCTACTTGCGGATTAATTACATACTACTCCAACAGGAAGGCCTGTCGCGACTACAGACGGCCACTATTGACCCCACCATGTGGTCGGACCACGGCCCGGTAACTGTGGAACTGGAATCAGCACTATTTAAACCGGCACAATGGACCTGGCATCTGAACGAGTCCTTACTCCAGGACCCCGAGGTGAAGGGGGAAATCACACAAGCCCTCGACCTTTACTTCCAGGAAAATGATGTGGCAGACACATCTCCAATAATGCTCTGGGAAGCTCACAAGAGTGCCATCCGTGCCACTCTTATAAGAATAGCTTCCTGCAGAAGGAAGGCAACTATGCAGCAAATGGCGGAACTGTATGGAACCATCTTGAAGCTGGAACTCCAGCACAAACGGACCCAGCTCGACAACATACAAAAGGACCTGACGGACGCCCGACATCAACTGAGAGACCTTATCATGAGAAGATACCACCGCTCCCTACAACACTCCAAAAATTTCTTCTATATCCATGCAAACAAGGGTGGCAAATACTTGGCCCGCATCCTGAAAGGCGACACCCCTTGCACACGGGTACACAAAATATGCCTCCCATCAGGGAACACGTCCCAGTTTCCATTGCGAACAAATTCCGATGATACTACCACGTCTTATACAATCTACCTGTCCCTGGAGATACAACGCTGGGGCAACACAACCCCACACCCACTCAAGACTATTTACATAACAACGTAGGCAGGCAAGTTACACTAGAAGCGGCTAACACACTGGACGAACTAATTAGCACTGAGGAGATGGCCGCAGCCGTGAAGAGCGCCAAGGTGGGCAAAGCGCCGGGACCGGATGGATTTTCCGCGGGATATTACAAGCGCTACTCCTCAATCCTCCTACCTTGGCTAACAAAAGCGATTAACTCCATCACTGGGGGAGGGTGCTTTGGAGCGGAATCTCTGGCAGCTACTATCCTACTTAAACCCGGGAAAGACCCCGAGCATTGTGGCAGCTACCGGCCAATATCCCTGCTAAACGTAGATACAAAACTGCATACAAAGGTGTTGGCAACCAGACTACAACGTGTGCTGCCAAGTCTGATCCATGCGGACCAGACTGGGTTTATACCGGGGCGGGAAGCACGGGATAGCACACTGCGCCTCTTCTCCATATAACACAGAGCGCGGAAGACACGGACCTAAATCTTATTACTTTCCACGGACGCCGAAAAAGCCTTCGACCGTGTCAACTGGTTGTACATGATGAACACACTACGGGTTATGGGACTAGGACGCATGATGACATGGATATCTGCCCTGTATGATAAACCACACGCAACTGTCCGGGTGAATGGGTCCCTGACATCCAGCTTTGAGATCAACAACGCAACCAGACAGGGATGCCCCTGTCACCGCTCCAGTTCGCAATGACCCTGGAACCGTTACTGCAAGCGGTCCGTCAGAACCTAGACATCACTGGATACCCATGACCTTCTCTTCTTTATATCTAACCCAAGGATCACGATACCCTGCCTGCTCCTAGAATTTGAATGATTTGGAAAGATCTCGGGATTCAAGCTTAACCTGACGAAATGTGAAGTGCTCAATATAACCTTCCCGACGGATGAATACACGGAACTAGGAATCGCCTTCCCATTTCGCTGGTGCGAGGGGGAGATGAAATATCTGGGCATATGGATAACCACGAATCCGTCATAACTTTGCAACCATCCTGCAACAGATAACCCTATATCTCGACAAATGGGCATACCCATGAATTGCCGTGCTTAAGATGAATGTGCTGCTGAGAGTCCTCTACCTATTTCAGACAATCCCAATGGCACTGCCGACAACCTTGTTCTCCACCCTGATATCGGCGGTCATCTGATACGTCTGGAGAGGGGAAAGGTCCAGACTGCGTCACAAGATACTTTGCCTACCTAGACTTGGGGGAGGCCTGGCACTCCCGGATTTTAAAAGAGACCATCAAGCCGCCACAATGCAACGAACCCTGGAGTGGCATGCAGCTGACTCCCCGAAGCAATGGGTGACTCAAAGGCCAAACTCAAAGCGGCTTTATGACAAGGGGGACCGGGATGTCGCAGGGGCGGAGGAACGGGGAACCCGGTGACACAGACACTGATGACATGGGAAGCACTAAGAAAAACGACACATGTCTCCCTGGTCCCTAGCACCCTGCTTCTCATCGCTCCCAACCCACATATAGGGGGGGAGGAGGGGGCATCCCTGCCGGGGCCTAGATATTCCTGGAAGAGAGGGAATACATCCCGATTCGCACAGCCCCAAGCGAGGGAGCAATACGACCCCTGAACTCATTGCTGGCTGACAGACCTAGAACACCAGTGATGTCCCTTCGATATATGCAGCTGACACACGACTACGAGTCACTCCCATGTAAAGAACAACTACACAGAGACCTCACATGGTTTGAGAAACTATGCCACCGAGGAGCTACACTCGAAAAGACAGTCTCAACACTCTACCAGCATCTCCTGGTGGGGGCCAACACGGATAATAACACCTTCAGAAGACAATGGGAGGAACAACTGGGTGGGCCAATCTCGCCACCACAATGGGAAACAGCACTCTTGTGGCAACACAAGAGCTCCTCCAGTTCCCACTACCAAGAAGTCAATTATAAACTGTTGTCCATGTGGTACAGAACACCAGTCGTCCTACACAGGATCTTTCTGACTGTGTCCCCGACATGTTGGAGGTGTCAGGAGGAGAGAGGGACGGTGATACACCTGTGGTGGGACTGTAGAATCATTACCCTATATTGGGGACGAATCCGATCAGAAACCATGGCAATCTTGGGGGATGACACGGAATGGTCCAAGGAACTGGCCCTCCTACATATCACCTCACGATCCATCTCTGGATATAAGAAATCTATCCTGCGCCACCTATTGAACGCAGCCAAGGCCCTTATGCCTGTTTACTGGAAGCAAACTGAGACACCCACGATCGAGGAATGGCTCCACAGGTTCAGAGACATACTAATGGCTTAGGCCCTACAGGTGTCCTTAACAGGTCGGGAGGCCAGGCACGCGGAGACATGGCAGCCGTGGTTCGCATATAAGGCTAGAGGGTAATGGGCACCTTGTGCGCGGCTTGGGGGCGGAGGGCCGGGAAGCGGACCATGACACCCTCTATCAGCACTACTTGGGGATTATCTCCAAGGATAGAGAACCCAACATCAGACCAATAACTCAATCTTCCCACACACTTATCACGCGACTAGAGACGCCTAACCCAACTGGGACACCCAGTATCTCACATAACCTTAGAACTCACTTGCCACGCGGGGCGCACTATTGGGAGACGGGAGGGAGACCCTCATACAACTACTACTCTAATCTCCCTTTTCCTTCTCTACATACCATTCTGGTTTCTCTTCCTAAAAAAATACCTGACACAGAAATTACCACGCACACACTAACCTGAGGGAAACAGGAACTCACCTATGCGATGATATATCCTAAAACTGAGATCAAAGTATCTATGCTTATCCATACACAATGCAATAAACACTTGTTTCTATAAAGACCCCAAAGTATTCCTACAAAAAAGGCAAATTGATATTAAACAACATGTCAGAATACTGTTAATCTATATTTAAAGAAAATTAAGATGAGACTGTATATAGCGGCTACAAATGTCTTAACAGGTTAGGCTTGCATGCCTTCAGTAATTATATATATATATATATATATATATATATATATATATTAAAAAAAAGCAACAATGTAATCAAGCATTGCTCCAAAGAATATTATTTTGTAATCAAAAAGATTGACATTGGATTTGTATTGTCTTTACAAATGTTTCTCATGAGGCTAACCCTATTGTTTACCTCTTCTCAATAAAAAAAAAGATTTATAAAAAAAATTTAAAATCATTGCAACTGCATTACTGGCCCCCTGACTATCTTACGTCAAAGTTGGAATTTCTTTTCCTTGTTTATCATGCATCTTAAACGTGCAACACAGAACGTAAACCCGTCATCTTTCCTCGATGGAGGACACAAGCTGCCCAGTCTTCAGCTCAGGAAATAACTGCACATAGCTTGTTCCACAAAATTGTGAAATAGACAGTAAGCCGTCAGATGGCGACCGTGACTAGGAACTAAACTACATATCCAATAAAGCCCTGTGTGACAGATGTTATAGAATAATAACAGTATAAAACACATAAAATCGACCAGAAAGAGATGTTTCCAACACATATAATTTATTCCCTGGTGGGGATCTCACTGATGTAGCACTCATCTGTCGAGGTGCTACACAATTAAGTAATAATAAGTATTATTCTTTTCCATTTTTTAAATATATTATGCGTTATAAACTTGCTAATGTGTGACCAATAATCATGGCAGCATTAAATAATGGGGTAGCTCTGCACACTCACAACAGAAAGAACAGGAAACCAAACCCTGTTAGTATAAATAGGAAAGCCCCTTTGATAACAGACAGTCTTGATGACCTTGAGTCTAACCAATACACTCTTCTCAAGGACAGTAGGTGCATTTAAACGTATTAAATTGGGTGTTTTTCTAAACAAATCTCCATTTGCGGATGAAAAGCAGAACTGCAGCAGACTATGTGCCTCTATCCCGATTGCTTAGTTTGGTTTGTCTGTGTCAGGCACATCTATCAGTACTATAGGTTACTGGTTAGTTTAGGTGGGCAAATAGTTCGGATGTTTAAAATATGAGTCCGTATTTCAGCAATCTAGACCTGTATTTTGAGCATTTGATCGGGACAGACTAAAAACTGGACGAAATTCTAGCTTACTCTGAGTCCATATCTTATTTTTTTGCTCTGCTAACTGATCTTTAATCACAAAAAAATGAACAGGCTCTAGCAAGAAATTAAGGAGATAAGAGTCAGTTTTTTTAGGAAGTGTGTAGGGAGGCTGTGTAAGTATCAGCTAGGGGAGGTGTGGCTAGGACTCCATAAACAAAGTGATTTAGCTCCTAAATGGCAGATAATTGAGCAGTAGGACTGCAGGGGCATGATCTATACACCAAAACTGCTTCATTAAGCTAAAGGTTTCCCTTAAAGTAAAATCATTTTTCCATTCTTTCTATAAATTTATATTCGTGATTGATCACCATGACAGCATTATATCTCCAACCTTCTTTATGGTGTTAGGGAGCTTGCTACTAGGACAGTGTCTGTTTAGAATGATTGATTCTATCCTCTATATGCTAACATCAAATATTTATTTCCTGTCCCTTCCACTATGAGTTGACAGAGCTAACCAATTAGTTAATGCTGCCACAGTGATCGATCAGTAAAGACATTAATGGAAAGTCTCGAACAATTTTCCTTAATTCCTGCCTAACGAGTCCCTTTAAGTACCCAGATTATTATGGTAAAATATAATATTCTTGCTCCTTAAAGGGTTAACTCTCTTTATATGAACATACACTATTTTATTTTTCTGCCAAGTGTTTGATGACCTCCTTGCTCCATATCAAAATACCTTCACTTGTTCTGGCAGGGTTAAGACTGAACAGTAAAGGTAAAATATCAAATGATCAAATAATTGCGGTGGAATTCTATCCAATCTCTGCTCCATGTCACCCAGAGAAGTGTTGAAAAGGTCTTTATTCTGCGGCATGCAGCTCAATGTACCATGCACTATATAAATGAATCAAACAGTAAAACACACCATGTACGTGAGGACCCGCGTCTTCTGGTGGTGCAATGCAGACAGATCACTAAAAGCTTAGTCATTTCTTAAAGCTACAGTGCACTTTATTAA